ATCATATCGTGTATACTTATTTATCCTCTTTTTCTTAAAATATGTATTACCTATAACTAAACCCCTTTCTATACAAAGTTCAATCAAAGGGCTCCCATTATCATTTACACCTGGCACCCCAAACTTACCTACCACACCCTCTCTAAAAGTTTCTCCTACTTTAGCATTCAGGTCCCCTACCACAATTACTCTCTCACTTGGTTCAAAGGCTCCTATACATTCACTTAACATCTCCCAAAATCTCTCTCTCTCCTCTGCATTCCTCTCTTCTCCAGGTGCATACACGCTTATTATGACCCACTTCTCGCATCCAACCTTTACTTTAATCCACATAATCTCGAATTTTACACATTCATATTCTCTTTTCTCCTTCCATAACTGATCATTTAACATTACTGCTACCCCTTCCTTGCTCTAACTCTCTCAGATACTCCAGATTTAATCCCATTTATTTCCCCCCACTGAAACTCCCCTACCCCTTCAGCTTTGTTTCGCTTAGGGCCAGGACATCCAACTTCTTTTCATTCATAACATCAGCAATCATCTGTTTCTTGTCATCCGCACTACATCCACGCACATTTAAGCATCCCAGTTTTATAAAGTTTTTCTTCTTCTCTTTTTTAGTAAATGTCTACAGGAGAAGGGGTTACTAGCCCATTGCTCCCGGCATTTTAGTCGCCTCATACGACACGCATCTCTTACGGAGGAAAGATTCTCTTCCACTTCCCCATGGACAATAGAAGAAAAAAGAGGAACAAGAACTATTTAGAAAGGAGAAAAACCTAGATGTATGTATATATATATATGCATGTGCGTGTCTGTGAAGTGTAACCAAAGTGTAAGTAGGAGTAGCAAGATATCCCTGTTATCTACCGTGTTTATGAGACAGAAATAGAAACCAGCAATCCTACCATCATGCAAAACAGTTACAGGTTTCTGTTTCACAGTCATCTGGCAGGACGGTAGTACTTCCCTGGGTGGTTGCTGTCTACCAACCTACTACTACTAGTACGTATTTGCTTATATGCCTCAGTGCTAATACTCAATCTATACAACTACATTTCTTCAATCCTCCTTGTTTCTCTGCAGTCTTAATTTCTTATCCCTAACTTTTTTTTTTAATAATGATTATAGTAAAGTAAAGTTTATTTCTTTGTAAAGGTTACAGTGTGTAATTACATTTTTGATTTGCTAAGTACAAAGATAGCCACTATCATGCCAAGGCATTTTAGGCAAACTAATCCTAATACATAGTAACTAATTAAAACTTGATAAGATAATAGTACATAGTAACTATACTTAAAACTAGACAAGAAGTAGTTGTTAACTGTTTTACTATCTTATTTAAACTTAATACAAATGAGAGATAGTATGGTGGAGTAGGGTTCAGTAAAATAATCTTGAAATTGCACACAAAATCGATGTTACAAGTAATGGTGCAGGTGGTAATATTTTATATGTAATTCTTAGGCTCATTCTCATCCCCTTTTCCTTATAGTATAAGGTAACTATCAATGTCTCTACCAATCCTTCCGTAATTTCCATTTTGTTCGTGCATACTTAACATTAACAAATACCCGAATCACTTAGAATTGCATTCCAATTTACTTTCAACATTGAAAAGTAAAAAAAAAATTTTTGGGGAACCTATGTTGCATTGTCCTACTCTTGTTCGCCTTTGCCTCGTGGCCACTTCATCCACACTTGCCTCAGCTTTCCATACTCCCTATCAGATTTAATTGCTCCCACTCAATACAAACAGAAAACACGTGCTTTCATGCATCATCATCATTTAAAACAATTCCCCAAAATATTCCCTATATCATGTCCTGTACCTTTGCCTCTCCACCAAGCATCTTTAAAACTCTTTGTTCTTAACCCAGCAAGTCTCTTTGCTTTTTGAGGCTTTTTAAACTGTGAATCCCTGCCAATACTGTTTTATTCTTGGCAAAAGTTTACTGAAAAACTTTGCCATGTCTTTTGTTTGTTTTCCTTTTTGCATTCCCTCACACACTTTTGGAACTCTTTTTATTTTTCACTCTCTCTCTATTACCTTATCATTATGTGGGAACTTGAGGTTAGATGCCCACTCTGGCAGTCACTGTTACACCAACAACAAAACCTTAGTCGCTGTTCTTACAAGCTATCTCAAGGGTACACTTTTTAATTGAAATTAACTACACCGAAGAAATTCCTAAATACATGCAACAAACAGAACAGACTTTGTTTTATTTTGTGGAGTCTAATACTAGCTAGAAACTTCCCTGATTTGTCCCCCAGCTAATCTAGGTTTCTATTGGCTTCTCTCACTCTCCAAACACCATGTGCGCAATAGGTAATGATTTCCAGCAAGTATTGACAGTTGGGTTAGTATCCCTCAGCCACACCTGAGGGATCCCTGATTCATTGGGTTTTTCTCTAACTAATATTTATTACAGAAGGGGAATACTAGAGAATCTAGTAATTCGAGAGAGGGTATGACACAGAAATCTAATCCTAGACCTCTGTATTGGTGTATACCACACAAATGAACCTGCAGGTCAAATGTCCTACATTTCTTAAAATACTGTTAGCCAACTAATACGTAGGAGAAATGCGGCAATTGTCTACTACAGGGGCCTGGAAGAGACAAATATACATATACTCTTTGTGAAACCTCATTGAACTTTGTTTGTCACCGGGCAGTATTTTTGTAAGCCGCGTGGTATGCTTGTTCTCAGAGCTCTAATGTGTTGTAAGTATGACAGCTAATACTGGAAGAACAAGGTAGTGCTCTACATATTCTTGGTTTACCTTGCTTATGCAAAGAGAATGCTAGTATACCACAATATACCTAATTGTAGTATTACCTAATATAATGTAATATTAATGTTTAAAACTACATTATTCATTCTAATATTATTTACTAACAGTTTAAATGTACCTAATCATACTTTAAAATATAAATCTTTCAAATAATAATATTAGCCTTACAATTTCCCACTCTAGTGTTATTTGATGGTGGAAGGGTATGTTAAGGCATTGAATTATTTACAATCAATAAGCTGTGAAATTTTTGGTCTTACTAAATTTCTATTAAATATTTCATTAGAAAAACCTCTCAAATTCTAACTTTTTTTTTTCCATTTTTTCTTCCTCTTTTTCCACGTGTCATTCCATCCTTTTTCAACCTGCACCCACCCTTCATATTAGTAGCCACAGGCCTATGCTGTGCTGTCTGCAACTGCATTTTTTAAATCTACCTTGTACCTTTCTGAACCTCCTCAGTATTAATATTCCATTTCAAACTACCTTTCTTTCAGTAATTGCTTATGGTATCCACCCACAATCTTCTCTAATTCATTCACTTTCACCTTTTCTCTTACCCACTGATACAATTTTTTCTCTTATTTTTTTGCCTCTTACTCTTACTGTAGGCTCTTCCAAATAAGATGATATATTAGTCACTACTTTTTTAAAAGACATACACATTTAGACAACCCTACACATCAACTTTGTTTGTCTACCATTACATAATTTTTGTAAACTATACTACTTACTGACATTGTGCACTTCCGTCATATCTCGTACACTTGTTTGTCTTTTTTTTTGCTTGAAATAATTATTTGCAATTACATCTCTTTTTTAATACATAATTCAATAAGAGGTTCCCAGGTATCATTTACATTTAGGTAACACCAAACTTACCTACTATTTCCTCCTTCAAACATTATTTCCCACTTCAGCTTTAGGTTCACCCCACAAAACCATTATTCTGGCACTGATTCAAACTCCATAAACATTTGCTTAACAACTCATATTAATCTGTCTTTTACAAACTTCCTCCCACCTTAGTGCTTAACTTTTTATTGCACTCTCACTTCTCACCTTTATTCTAACCAAAGTAATTCCTTGATAAATTAGACCACATGGTGCACACTTGGGTATCTTTAATGAGGAAACGTTTTTGCCAACACAGTGCTCATCAGTCCATACAAAGGAAATGGCGAAGGGGAAGAACAGGAGGAGTTTGAGGTAATCAGTCCCTCAGCCTTGAGTCGATGTAATCAGTCCGCCTGTTCTTCACCATTCTCCTTTGTATGACCTGATGAAGCCACTGTGTGGTGAAATGTTTCCTCATTAAAGATATCCAAGTGTTGCACAAATATCTAATTTATCAACTTGTCATTTCTCTGAACCATTTATCTACAAATAATTCTTGAATTTACAGCTTTTTTGTTTAATGCATTGACTGTTTCCCACCAAGGCAGGGTGATCCAAAAAGAAAGAAAAACCCTAAAAAAGAAAGAAAAAACTTTCATTATCATTCAACACTTTCACCATCACTCAAACATTATCACTGTCTTTGCAGAGGCACTCAGATACGACAGTTTAGATGTCCCTCCCAAACTGCCAGTATCCCAAACCCCTCTTTTAAAGTGCAGGCAGTGTACTTCCCATTTCCAGGACTCAAGTCCGGCTAACTGGTTTCTTCTCCCAGTTTCTAACATAATAATATTGCTTTCATTCCTTTAGGTCTAACTTTCTCAGATACACCTGACTTCATCCATCCAATCCTCATTTTCCCCTCCACATTGAAAATTCCCCTATCCCTTTTTACCTGTGATATTTGCTTAGTGATGGGACATCAAGGTGCTTTTCCATAGAAAGCTTTAAAAATAAAGAAATTTGCCTTGGACACATCATGCTAAGGCTTGGTATGTGGCTAAGGAAAAACTGTGCTTGGAGGAATAGACTTCAATTCTGTTCAAAAAGTTAATGCTGATAGCAAAAAAAAAAAAAAGCATATTGTAAATAACTAGTACAGTATATTAAAATATTTGGAGGAAGATTTTAGTGTCAAGTTCTCCTATTTCTGGTGGTGAAGTGTGATATCCCAGTGTTTCAACATACAAGCCATGGCTGTATAGAAAATTGGCTGATAGTTTTTTCCCAGTCATTGATATTGCATTTCTCAGTTCACCTTAGGCCTTCAATAGTTCAAGCATCTTTTAATTTAGCACCATCAGAATGCAAGTATGAATGGAGCCTTCTACAGCAACCCACCAGTGATGACCCTGGTTCTGTCAGTGATACTAAGAGTCAGACCATCACTCTGTCTCATCTGATGCAAGGAGTCTACATATTCAAGGTTGTTGTTGATGCTCCAAAAGCACATGGCGAGGCTGTGGGGAATGTAACAGTTCTTCCAGGTATGTTGATTCATATTCGTTGATATATTTTTTTAAGTGTAATTTACAAGAACAAATGTATTAATTTATTTTTTAATAAGACTGTTGAGATTAGTTTAGTATATATTAAAGGGCTTTTGAAGTAACTAAAAACACAAGCCTTAATTATTTCTCAGAGAAAAGCATTAAAAAATGAACAAGCCAGCATATGAGGCATTTTGAGGCATGAATATTTTTTATTTTATCAATGCACAGTACAGTACATTTTCTAGTTAAAGGTAGTAGGTTGGTAGACAGCAGCCACCCAGGGAGGTACTACCGTCCTGCCAAGTGAATGTAAAACAAAAGCCTGTAATTTTTTTACATGAGGTGGGATTGTCATGTTTTTTTGTCGCCTTAAATATGAAAGATTACAGGTATGTCTTGCTTTTTCTACTTAACTTAGGTCACACACACATAATTCCGTTTTTTTTATACACAATCATCGGTTTTTTCTTTGATTTTACTTAACAGTTCTTGGGCCTTTATTCTTTTCCTTTTTTACCCATGGGGAAAGGGAATAAGAATTTTTCCCCCTTAAGCCATGCGGTTGTAAAGGTCAAAAAAAACCCGGGAACAAGGGGCTATAACCCCTTTTTCCTGTAAAGATCTAAAAAGAATAAAAGAAGAAAATTGTCAAAGTGGGAAGTCTAAGTGTTGGTGTTATGCAAAGAAAAGAAAGAGATGTTTTGTGGATTTTATAATGAGAAGAAGCTGATGTCCGGGTTTTAAGTGAAACAAAGCTGAAGGGGGGGAATTTTCAGTGAGAGGAATAAAGGGGATTAGTCAGGGGTTTAAAATAGAGTTAAGCTGAAGAAGGAGTACAATAATGTTAAAGGGATAAGAAAACCAGGAAAAGAGGACATAAAGTTTAATTAAAGGGATTAGTGGATAAAAAAAAGGGTTGGATTGAAAAGGGTTTAAAGTAAGTGTATATGCACCTGAAAGAGAGAAGTTAGGGGAAGAGAAGAGTTTTTTGGGAAATGTTATAAGCGGGGGTTTTTGAACTAATGTGAGAGTACTTGGGGTTGGGGGATTTAAATCTAAAGTGGTAAAAATTTTTGGAGGAGTAGTGGGTAAATTGGGGTCCCGGGGGTAAATTAAAGGGGGACCCTTTAATTGAGCTAGTGTAAAAGAGTTTTGGTAAAAGAAACATTTTTTTATGAAAAAGGGGATAAATAAATAAATATACAAGTTTGAGTAGCACGAAATAAAGATTTTTTTAATTTATGTATTGGGGATAAAAGGTTAATGGGTGGGCTCCGGGAATTACTGTTTATAAGGGGAACTGAAAAATTCGTCATTTATAGTTATACTACAGTTAAGTAAGGGTAGGGGGAAAAAGGGGAAGGTGGCAACAACAAATAGGGGGGAAGTAAAAAGTACATAAACTAAGGGGGAGGAAGTTCGGTGAGATATAAAAACTATTGGCAAAAAGGGGCTAGTGAAAAGAGATAGGGGGTTTTGAAGGGGGTTGGATGAGTTTTAAAAATCAGTAAGAATGGGGGGCAGAAGTTTGGGTTATGGGAGGGGGGGGGCGGGGGGAAAGAGGAGTGATTGGTGAAATAAAGTAAAGGGTGTGATAAAAGGAAAAAGTTAGCTTGAGGTTTTTTGCAAATCAGAATTTTTTTATAAAAGACAGAGTAATTAGAGTAAAAGAAAGGTAAGAATGGTGAGAGAGTGCAAAAGGATCAATATAGAGTGGGGGAAAGGGACTTCAAAAAATTTTAATGAAAAAAAAAAATTTGGATGATTAAAGAAAAATTTAAAAATAGGGCCTAGGGGAAGTAGGATTTGTCAGTTAAAAAAAAAGTAGAGGGGTTAGTAGATGGGAAAAGGGGGTATTAGGGAATGGCGAAATATTTGAGGAACTTTTAAATGTTGGGAAGAAAGGGGGGCGTAATTTCATGCATGGTCAGGGGGATACCACTTTTTGGAGTGAAAAGAGCAGAATGTAATGTGGGGGGGGTCGTGAGGCATTACAAATGAAAGGGGGGAAAGCAGTGGAACTGAGGGGTCATGCAGAAATGTTAAAAAGGGGGGGATAAGTTTGGAGTGGTTGTATTTTTTTTAATAATGTATGAAAAAGGGGGGAAAGGGAAAAAGGGGTTGGGGGAGAGATGTATTTCCCCCTTTATTAAAAAAGGGGAAAGGGGGGAAAAAAAGATTGTAAAAATTATGAGGAAAAGTTTCGAGTAACCCGGAAAAGTGTTCGGTAGGGGTTAATTTTTGAAAGAAATTTAAGGGAAGCAGAATGTAGGATTGCGGATGACAAAGGAGGTTTCAGAGTGGGGAGGGATGTGTAGATCAAGTGTTTTCATGAAGCAATCTATTGAACAGTATTTAGATAAAGGTAGGGGAATTTTTTTTTCATTTATGGATTTAAAAAGGGATAGAAGTGGATAGGGGAGCAATTGGGAATATACAAGTACGTATATGGAATAGGGGAAAATTACTAAAGCGTAAAATTTTTAGAGGATATGAGGCTCGTTAGGTGGGTAGAAAGAGGGGGCACTTCCGGAAAAAATAGGTCTTAGACAGGGGTTGTAATTCACCATGGTTTTTATATATTATAGATGGGGTTTTTTCTCCATTGGGAAAATGGAAAAGAATTTTTTCCCCCGTAAACCAGCTGTTTTAAAGGCACTAAAATGCCAGGCCAAGGGGGTAGTACCCCTTCCCTTATATTTACAAAGCAAAATGAAAACTTTCGATTTTCCTTTTGGGCCCCCCCGCCTCGGTGGGGTAAGGCCGTTTTGAAAGAAAAAAAGATTTGGGGTTTAAAAGAAGTAAAAGCTAGGGTGTTCGGGAGAGGGGTGGGATTAAATTATGGGGAATCAAATACAAAATGGGAATTGACAGTTACTTTTTGCTGATGATACTGTGCTTATGGGAGATTCTAAAGAAAAATTGCAAAGGTTAGTGGATGAGTTTGGGAGTGTGTGTAAAGGTAGAAAGTTGAAAGTGAACATAGAAAAGAGTAAGGTGATGAGGGTATCAAATGATTTAGATAAAGAAAAATTGGATATCAAATTGGGGAGGAGGAGTATGGAAGAAGTGAATGTTTTCAGATACAGTGGACCCCCGCATAACGATCACCTCCAAATGCGACCAATTATGTAAGTGTATTTATGTAAGTGCGTTTGTACATGTATGTTTGGGGCTCTGAAATGGACTAATCTACTTCACAATATTCCTTATGGGAACAAATTCGGTCAGTACTGGCACCTGAACGTACTTCTGGGGTGAAAAAATATCGTTAACCGGGGGTCCACTGTACTTGGGAGTTGACGTGTCGGCGGATGGATTTATGAAGGATGAGGTTAATCATAGAATTGATGAAGGAAAAAAGGTGAGTGGTGCGTTGAGGTATATGTGGAGTCAAAAAACGTTATCTATGGAGGCAGAGAACGGAATGTATGTAGGTATAGTAGTACCAACACTTATATGGGTGTGAAGCTTGGGTTGTGAATGCAGCAGCGAGGAGGCGGTTGGAGGCAGTGGAGATGTCCTGTCTAAGGGCAGTGTGTGGTGTAAATATTATGCAGAAAATTCGGAGTGTGGAAATTAGGAGATGTGGAGTTAATAAAAGTATTAGTCAGAGGGCTGAAGAAGGGTTGTTGAGTTGCTTTGGTCATTTAGAGAGAATGGATCAAAGTAGAATGACATGGAGAGCATTTAAATCTGTAGGAGAAGGAAGGCGGGGTAGGGGTCGTCCTCGAAAAGGTTGGAAGGAAGGGGTAAGGGAGGTTTTGTGGGCGAGGGGCTTGGACTTCCAGCAGGCGTGCATGAGCGTGTTCGATAGGAGTGAATGGAGACGAATGGTATTTGGGACCTGATGATCTGTTGGAGTGTGAGCAGGGTGATATTTAGTGAAGGGATTCAGGGAAACCGGTTATTTTTATATAGCCAGACTTGAGTCCTGGAAATGGGAAGTACAGTGGACCCCCGGTTTACAATATTATTTCATTCCAGAAGTATGTTCAGGTGCCAGTACTGACTGAATTTGTTCCCATAAGGAATATTGTGAATTAGATTAGTCCATTTCAGACCCCCAGACATACACATACAAACGCACTTACATAAATACACTTACATAATCGGTCGCATTGGGAGCTGATCGTAAACCGGGGGTCCACTGTACAATGCCTGCACTTTAAAGGAGGGTTTTGGGATATTAGCAGTTTGGAGGGATATGTTGTGTATCTTTATACATATATTCTTCTAAACTGTTGTGTTCTGAGCACCTCTGCAAAAACGGTGATTATGTGTGAGTGAGGTGAAAGTGTTGAATGATGATGAAAGTATTTTGTTTTTGGGGAGTTTCTTTCTTTTTTGGTCACCCTGCCTCGGTGGGAGACGGCAGACTTGTTGAAAGAAAAAAAAAACTTCTGCTTAGGACTAAGGAACTAAATTATGCTACAGTATTTTATAATAAATGTGCATCTTATATTTGGGGAAAACTTGCTTAGTTGTCATTGTAGCTACAGGCAGTGTCTTCATGTAATTTTAAAAGTTTATGATATTAACCCTCCCCTCAAACATCTCCTTGCCAACCTCAACAAAACACATGACCATAACACAAGGCACAGATCACTCTTTGATGTTCCTCGTGTCCATCTCACGCTATGCAAAAACTCAATGCACATAAAAGGCCCTAAAATCTGGAATTCATTACCTGTAAATATAAAAGAAACACTACCTGTTTATAAATTCAAGTCTCTTCTCAAAGATCACTTACTCACCCAAAACCAAATAAATACTGAATAATTGAACCTTATAAATTGTATATCTTAAATGTTTCTCACAATTAATCAAAATAAAGTTAAACCTAAAACCCAATCTAACTTTATTATTTTTTAAATACACTACCTAACAGAATACTCCATTTGACTGAATGTACAGCAATGCATGCAACCATATGACCTGTCTTTGTAATACTCATTTGTGCTTTATAGTTATCTGTTTACAATAATGTTTTA